CCCCCCCTCCTCCCCTCCCTATTTCCATTTTTTCATTTTCTCATATTTTTTTCCTCTCCCTTATTACCTTTCCCCCACCCTTCCCACTTTCCCTACACCTTTAGCCCTTTACTTCCTATTTCACATTATTAATTATCTCATTAGGATCTTGTGTACTCTTATAGTTTTTCACGCCAGAGAAACTATTCGGTATTTCAGTTAAAGAAATCTCTGTATGAATGTTAAAAATAGGGAATCCTAAAACAAAACTAAAAAGGAAAGTAAAAGAGAAAAGGCAATGATGTAAGATTAAAATAATCCTTAATTCTGAAGATGAAAATGGCCCCTGAACATATTCAAATTGCTTTTTGCTCTTGTAGTCTTATATTATTCTTTATTTCCCATTATTTAATCAAACCCATGTAGATATGACCTTACATATATAATACAGTGTGTTACCCCTGTACAAATGGAAAAACATTAACATTTCTAGACCAATATGGCTGTCAATTTCTGTACAATGCCAACTTTTTAAATGTTTTGTTTTTATCTTTTCATACTAGATATTGAATCCAATGCCTTCTCACTAAGCTACATCATCAGCCTATTTATTTATTTACTTACTTATGCATATTTTGCATACAGGTTTCTAAGTTGTCCAAGTTGGGTTTAAAATCTTGATCCTTCTTCCTCAACCTTCCAGAGTGCTGAGATTATACACCTGTGCCACAGCTGCAAATGAGTGTCTTATTGGTTTTACAATTATTTTATGAAATAAAGAATTCATTCCTTGCAGACAAGAATTAGGGACACTGTTCATGACTTCAAAGAACTTTACATTGCTTTGATGTACAATTCTGTAAAAGCAGTTTGTCTATCTGTGTTATGAGTAAAAAAAAAAATCACTTTTAATTATCTATCCCTATCTGAGCCCCCAGTGTTTGAGCTTGTGTGTGTGGTGTAAATATTTGAATGTGAGCTGGATGAATATTAATTAGAGATTTAAGTGACTCTTTTGTAAGAATTCCTGTCTAACATTTTAATATTCAATAAGTTTTTACTACTTCTTAGGGTTCTTCACAAATATTAATCCACAAAGTTGTTACTATGTATTATTTACTGTCATTTTACAGATTTAGAAATGGGCTCACAAGCCTTAAAGTAATTTGGAAAATATGTTTAATTGTGAATATTTGAATCATCAATGTAGTATTTAAGTTCAACTTCAATATCCTTTGTAAGTTCAAATTCTCTTTAATAAATATTATAATGAATATTGATCAAACAGTAATTAATTTTAAGATTGCCTTTGTCTTGTTCAAAGGATATTTTTAATAAATGTTTGGTTTGTTTTAAGTAAAACTTTATGCATGCATAATGCACATACTTCCTTTTTACAGTGGTAAATGAAGGTTGCTATATATGCATAGACATTACAATATAAATTCTAAAACTTAGCATCTTCCCATACATGTATTTGTACTGCTTATGAGTAATATAACAGTGGGCCTACGAATGAAAAAAATGAAATTTATTATACTAATATGATTAGCATCTTTTCTATTTCAAATTTGCAGAAATTGCAGTACACATATAAACTTATTGGTATGAGTAAAATTATAATGTTGATTTAAAAATGTGATGTAGTGACAGGTTATACAAATAAAATAAATACGAAAATTGATGAAATTGCTTCACGTTGTAAAGTGGCAAGAAATTTATATTTGTGAATGTTATTTATTTATACTTATGAGTTTTAATATATACTGATCTCCACCAAAAGATTAATCTTTAATTATAAATAAATAGTAATTAATATTTGTCAATTTATAGTCTGGAAGTCTTGTTCTTTCAAGTATTTTGCTTCATTAACTAAAAGTAAATATTTGGCTAATAAATAAACACATACCTGTCCTAAACTCAGGAGGAGAAGAGTAGTTTCATGTGTCTCTGGGTAGGGGCAAGTGTAAGAAGATATTAATTATAGATTTAAAAAATGAGACAGGGTACAGGTTGTAAGTTTCACCCCTCAGTGTTATGTAGATATGATGGTATTATAAGAGATCAATTATTGATTATAGAGTAAAAATTATAGAATGTGTCCAAAAGTAATTCTTTGCTCCTTTGTAAAATTTTAAAGCTCCACAAACTAGTGACTGCATTATTGTTTCCATTATAGAAGCATAAATAGAAATGATTTTGAAAATTAACTCTTACCATTATTCCATGAGCATGGAATTCATTCTTGTCCAAACATACAATTAATAATTTTGAAACTGGCTTACTCACCACTTCCATCACAGACATCATGTGAATCATCCATCTGCTGGGACATTGCAGCATCAAAGTTCGGCTGTCAAATAGCAAATACTGTGACTTGCTGGTGGGAGAGACAGATTAAGGTTAAAAGTACTCACCATTAACATTGACTGACAGTCATGTAACCAAAAACTTGCTCATTTTTAGATTCAAGAATATATATGCAATGTAAATATGACAGGTGTAAAAGTGACTCTCCCAAAATATGTCCCAAAATGTCACTGAAAATAACTGTAATTTTTCAGAGTTTAGGACTTTATCAAAACATGTTCCTTTTTCTTGCAGATATTTGTTTCAAAATGATAGAACATTTTATCAGTTACAAGATTTAGGGCCTCTACACTGTCAAATATGCTGTATGTGTGTCTGTCTGTCTGTCTGTCTTTCTGTCTCTGTCTCTTTCTCACACTCTTTCTGCCAACAACAGCAAAACTCCAACAATTCTGGTGTGTAAATCTAGTATTAAGAACCACTAACCACTCTTAAAAATCCTGTCTTTCAGGAAAGAACGGTGACCATCAGAAGACAAACTGTAGGAGGATTTGGATTAAGCATAAAGGTAGCCTGCCTTTCCAGTCTATCCTTATAAAGGACAAGCTGCATTGGCTGAACTTTTCTGTATTTTAATGCTTGATGATTAATAATTATGAAAAATTGTATAGAAAAATCCTTACTATTTGGAATGGGAGGTAAATTAGGTAGGGTATTAGAGCCTTGGTTGTGCATTAGCTTTTTTAAAAAAATTGAATTTATTGGTACATTCTAGGTATACAGTACAGTTACATTCATTATTGGGATCTTGTACCTCTACATGCCAGGTCTTGGTTCTCATTTTTTCCCCTTGTCTCCACCCTCCCTCACCCTCCCCTCCCCTCCCCCCTTCAAATACTTTAAGCTTTTTTTGGTACCAGGGATCTAAGTCAGGTCCTTCTGTTTTTCAAGGCAGGTATGGTGTCACAGCTAAAAATCTGGTACTAGCTTTTGATTTAAACATTTAAAAGAAAGATTTTGGAATTTTATCTGTCCTGACATTTAATATAACTTATTAACTTTCTTTATCTGTTTTGTTCTAAAATATCGAATATAATGCTACATGTGCATATCTTTCTTTAACCCTTCAGAATAGGAAATGCTGACTTGCAGACCTTTACTTATGTAGAATAAAAATCATTTATATGTCTCAGATACACATTTTACTGAATTTCAACACCATCAAATTTTATGCTTTGAAAAGCTGAACTCTGAATTTTGTAATTATCGTCTTCAGTCAACTTTGTGAAAATGAGCAAGGAGAGAGGTCAATGTGCAAAAGCATTGTGTTGACTGTGATGAGAACATTAGTATATAAAACATTTGTTCTGAAATGTATTTTGCATTTGCTTTACCTGTCAACAGCTAAGACCGTGGTGGCACACTGAGCAGATTACAGGATGTAAAAGGAACAATATGGGAATTCTATTATTCAATAGACAAGCTCTTTTGGTTTTGACTTTTTTTTCTGCCAAGATATTTATTGAGATTGCTATTAAAATTTTAGAGGCATACCATTAAATATATTAGAAAGTCCATGAACAAAATCAAATAACAAATTTTATTTCATTTGCATGATGCATTTTTCCTCCCCTGGCATGTATTCTATTTCAGTAATGGAGCTTTATTAATTTTATGCCCATGAGAAATGCATTTTTCTTTTTCTTTTTGAACATAGTTATATTTTAAACCCAAAATATGGGAATTATTATTCAATAGACAAGCTCTTTTGGTTTTGACTTTTTTTTCTGCCAAGATATTTATTGAGATTGCTATTAAAATTTTAGAGGCATACCATTAAATATATTAGAAAGTCCATGAACAAAATCAAATAACAAATTTTATTTCATTTGCATGATGCATTTTTCCTCCCCTGGCATGTATTCTATTTCAGTAATGGAGCTTTATTAATTTTATGCCCATGAGAAATGCATTTTTCTTTTTCTTTTTGAACATAGTTATATTTTAAACCCAATAACATAATGCTGTTTATTTTTACATAAATTTCATTTTTTAGCTTATTATTTAAAGCATTAGGAATTTTGCTAAATTAGTCTATTCAGTGTAATGTTTTCATTATTTCAATTCAAATATATAATACAGTAATTTTCTCAAAAAAGTGCATATTAACAATTCAAAATTTTGGTCATGAAAAATATTTGAACTATGTTTTTACCCTTTATTGGCATGTTCGACAAAATATAAATTATTATTAAATTCTTATTACACACAAACACACACACACATTAACCAGCAAAGAATGTCAATTTTTACTTAGAATATTATACATTCATCTCAAAAATTGTTTTCATGGTTTGCTTAATACTGACTTTTGAATTTTTCTTCTCTGCTTTTGAAACCATTTTTCATTCTGGTTATGTTTATCAAAATATTACTATTCATTGCAAGTAACAATATTGTATGAGTCAGTTTTCTTTACAATACTAGAATTACATAAACTACTGTGTATTAGCAGTAATTTATTTTCTTTAGAGCTGAAAAATTTAAAACATATATATGCAATGAATATTTTTTATAAAGCTATTTCAGGCTAGAAGAAGAATTAATATTATAATACTACATCATTTATTTATTGCTATAAGGAGAAATTTAGTCAATAATAAAATTGTGCATATAAATATACAAACATATATTATCTTTATTTGTTTCAGTTAAATACTTCTGGCATAGTCTAGAAATTTTATAGTAAAAATGTTAATTAAAACCTTTAATATCTTAACAAAGGGTAGCAGAAAGATGTTAATATTTCAGTCAATGGCAAAGACAGGTCTGAAGTGAATTTTTACTTGACTTAGAATAGTTTCTCAGTTTTGTCTTCCAAAAGAACCATTTGTTAAAAACTTGGCTGAAGGTTAAGAAAATAAGCTTTTTGGTCAGAAACATTAAAATATTCTAACAAGCTCTCTTAACAGCCCAAGCCAGCTCGCTGTGCTCAGGATAATCTTGGTTCCTGGCAATGGCTAAACCATGCCTGGGAGAAATCCTCAGTTCTCCTATGTTGCAGTCATTGCTGCCAAATTTGGTGGGTAATGATTCAAAGGAGATTGGTGTGGGTTTCTTCATAATGCTTGATTTATCAACATGTTTCAGTGATTATAAGTAATAGGCAGCATGCTCTTCCCTTCTTCAATGTCCTAAAATCCTTGACATTTCCCTTTATGCTGGACCCTCCTAAGCCCTCTCTTCAGCCCCAGCCTTTGCAGGGCTGCATATTGGTGATGAAATAGATCAGCTTTTACCTTTATTTTCTCCATCTTGTATAGGACAATGTTGAATTTCTGGGAGAAAGATGTGCAGGTGGCTTAGAGATTGAAGCAGCTCTATGTCTTTACAATTTAATATAGAACTTTGACCCCTTCCCTTGAAGGGCTAATGTTAGAATATGATGTAGAAAACATCAAAGAAGCTTCTCATCTCAAAAATTCCTAAAATGCCAAATGATGAGAGGAAAAAATAATTTCAGGGATGAAAGGTAATTGTGCTTAATGGAAATTTTTAAAATAAATTTTGTTTACATTTTTTCAAGTTTTATGTACTTCCCTTATTATTATTTCGTCCATTTTTTAACCTTAAGAAATGTTTTATGTTGCATTAAGGGGAATTTCTTAAAAAGAGCATGTAATGTTTTTTTGAAGGTCATGCTTTTTTAAAGCTATAGCCAAATATATTAGACACTAAGTGTGGAATCTAGCCAACTAAAAGTACAGGCATCAACTACATTCCAGGTTATGTATGAATCACTGATATATCTCCATAAACACTGTTATCTTTTACTGCCTTAATATTCCATCATTTTATGATAAAAATGAAAAGACAAAGACCAAAGCTACCTACAGATCCATGTCCATCCTGAATATGAAGAGTAAAGCAACAGTGCAGTCTAAACTGAGAGGCAGGTTGGAGCTCCTGCTGCATGCCATGGTGGCAGACGTCCCGACCAGGGAAGTGCCTGACACAAGGTCGGCACTCTCGTTCCCAGATTCCCCCTGGCTGCTTAGGGCTTTACCTCACTCCCAAAATTACAAGAGTTTCTTTCATCTGTGTGGGGTGGGCCTATTCCTGGATCAAGTTCCTTCTTCTACCTTCTTTTTTCTGTATTACAGTCATTTTTCTTTACTCTCTTGCAAGTCTAGTAGAATTAAATGATTGCTTAAACCAGTTGTAAGATGAAACTTGAACACACGCACTGATTCCTGGCCCTCTGTTCTCTTCAGCTGACCTGTTATCTGTTAGTCCGCCCTCCAGGACAAGTGTTTGCCTTCCTCTCTGATGAGAGCCCCTTTGAGGGCCTTTTTCCCTCTTCTCACCCTTGCCCTGAGCTCCAGGAAGCCTTGCTTATTTAAGATCTTTTTTCTTTCAGGTTACCTTTCAGAGGCCTTCTCATGTCTGCTGCAGCTTTGGGTCATCTTTGACTATGATCTCCTGGCTGTTGTCATTATTCAGTTTTCTTTATTTAAAATATTTTTCAAAAATTATGAACTTGTTTCTTTCCTCATTTTTTTAAAGCTTGCCCTTCAGTAAAAAATCAAGTTTTTTATTGATATTTTCCCAGATTTCCACAAAAGCTACACATGTGTTTGTGAAAAAAACTGGACAAAAGTACTACTAAGCTTTTCACTTATAATCGCATATTCTTTTTGCTCTCAGAATAAACCTGCTTCCTTGGTAGTGGTCAGACTTGTCAGGCTCACTGGCGTGCAGTCTAAACTTCCCTTCAGGCTTTCTGCTTCTATGATGGTCTGGCACATAGCCTCTCTCCAGATTTGTTTTACACAATTGCACCTTCACTTCTTTAGTGGTTTTGGGTTCTTCTCCCAGTTCTGGGCAGTTTTATCTTTCCCTTTAAGGTACTCTGACAGATGATTTCTTTCACATGTCCATCTCTGTAGTGTACACAATTCTGAGAGTTACCTTTCCATAAAAAACTTGATATACTCCACGACTATATCCACAGATGTCACCAATGTTTTGCATCATAGCATATAATAATTTCATACGTTCATCTCAATTTAATTATAAGAATTCACACAAGGATAGTCTCTGTGAAGCAAGGCACCATCTTGCCCCTGTGAGAATGACTCTGCCTATTTTTTTTATAACAGAAAGCCATATTTACGTATCATTAAACTATAACTCTGACACTGTCATTTCTTTAAATAATAAGCTTTTAAGGAAAGGATGTTTTAACTACTAGTATTAGACAATATGTATGATGTTTTCTAATCAATTTTGTTTATGCAAACAACAAATTATCAATATTCATCAGTTAAGTACATTTAATCAAGGTTGATTTTTATTTGGACACAATAACTTTTCAGCCTCATAAATATAATTATAATCATTGCTACTATTAGTTATCTTATCATTTACAAAAAACTGCTAATATTATGACCTGTACATGAAGCGCCATATTCAGAGCTAGGTACTTTATATTCTATTTAATTTAGATTAATTATCCAGCAAAATATATAACTATTGCTATTCCTTCTAGAGAAAATGAGTTTATGA